ACTCAATCATTTTGGCCCCCAAGTCAAAGTCCCTTTTCTCCAAAATATAAGCAAAACATGGAATTTAGAAGGGAGGTTTGATATTCTAGTAACTGAAATTTGCTTTGTGAATCTTATGTCCTGTCTTTTAACTTTAATGCTAAACATTGTGTTGTAAATACCTTGTTAGATTTTAAACATTTTCCAGTGGATTGCATTTCCCATATATATATATATATATATATATATATATATATATATATATATATATATATATATATATATATATATATATATATATATATATATATATATATATATATATATATATATACTATATAGTACAATCTGCAAACATGCATGTTTCGGCGTTTTACGCCTTGTCAGTGCAGCTTGGTACACGTCTAGATACGTGAGACACTCGTATTTATTTATATATATATATATATATATATATATATATATATATATATATATATATATATATATATATATATATATATATATATATATATCAGGGCCTTTTTTAAGGATTTTCCCGTGGGGGGGGCATTTTTTGAAAAGGGACCTTTCTGTGAGATAATATATTAGAGGGGGATAGCAATGGCTGAAAGCCACGTGTGTGGAAATATACCACGCATGAATGGGGGGTCTGGGGGTGTACTCCCCCAGAAAATTTTTGAAATTTGACTCCCGGAAATGTCATTTCCTGCATTCTGAGCATCCAAATTTGCTCCAAAATTTATCCTAACTATACTTGTATTTGAAATAAATAAAGGAAGAAACACACAAAAAGTAAAAAAAATTAACCATCATTTATCATTACTTATTAGAGGAGGATAGCAATGGTCAGGTGTGTGGGGGTGTACTCCCCCAGAAAATTTTTGAAATTTGAACCACGGAAATGCCATTTCCTGCATTCTGAGCATCCAAATTTGCTCTAAAATTTATGCTGACTATAGTTGTAGTTGAAATAAAAGATGGAAAAATGCACAAAAAGTAAAAAGGAATATTAACTGTAATTTATCATTACTTATTAGAGGGATAATCCCAAGAAAATTTTTGAAATTTGAAACCGTGAAATGCTATTTTCTGCATTCTGAGCATCCAAAAAATAAAAAAAAATATTAACAATAATTTATCATGGCTTAGTGGTAAAAAAGTAACAATTTAAATCGATTTTGTTAAACAAGAACAAAGGATAAAGCCTAAAACTTACTTTCCGTTTATCTATTTGTTAATCTTCGCTGGATTGTTTGTATAATTTTAGGAAAAAGGGACTTTTCCTGGGGGGGGCAAAATGTGATTTCGTGGGGGGGCACAAGGGGGGACTGGGGGGGCAAATGCCCCCCCAGCTTGTATGTTAAAAAAGGCCCTGTATCA